AACGAAATTGGCAGCGTTTTAGCCCGTGGTTTTTGAGAACGTTCGCGTCGCTGTCGCATATTCTTCGGCTTAAAGTGCGTGAGGTTGTAGCAGCAGCAGGTGCCATCTGAACGCAGAAACAATAACCGTGTTTAAACGTGTGTGGACCCAGTCCGGCGACGGGGGGGGGAGGGAATTTTGCCCTTCTGTTGCTTTACTCGTTCAGGTTTACAAGTCTCACTGTGGTAAAACTATGAACTTTTGTGAGGTTGGAGCAAGCCCGTCGAGCCAAGTGAAACGTGTCAACTCCTGTAAACTCATGAAATAACTCTTTCGATGAGTCGACACGTTGATGTCGGGCCAATATCCCCCTCCCTCCGTCGCCGAATTGCCACTGATTGTGTGCATAGCTACTCCTATGCTCGATGTGGTTTCGAGCGCATGAGCTCTATGCTTTTTGCTTTTGTCAAATGGTATGTAGAGAGTTGTAAGGCCGGGTTCATAGCTTGTGCCAGTAAGAAATGCGGAATTAAAAAACTGACGAAAAGGATTAGATACGTCTCGGTTTTCTAAAGTTCGTCAGTTTTGTATTTCTTCATTTCTGCATTTCTTCACAGTGGCTATAAACGTGGCTTAAGACTCAAGAGACGTGAGGGATGCTTAATGTTGTTGATTTTTGAAAACCATCTGAAACTCCTTGTAGCTGCAGTTCACTAGAAAGGTGAAGATCTTATGAAAGACTATTTTCTCCCTTATTTTTCTGTTCCAAATGTATTGTTTTTGGAAAATGCTCGTCGTTTGTTAATTAGTTTGATTGTTCAAATAATGTAAAGCAACCAATTGTACCCGAAATTTTTATCCCAAAAGCTCCAAAGATCCAAAAGGTCCGATGAACTTCCAAAATATTCATTTGATGTTCAGTCTTCTTTGGACATGGTAATCCTGCATGGTTGCATCGGGTTGTACTACTGTTGCAGCTCAGAAATGTGTGAGAAAAGCGCCGCCCGGTACCACACGGAACCAGGATTCAGTCCACTAGCTACGGCGACCCACAATTTTCATCTGATAGTGCAATTGTTACTAATTCTCCCATTTCGAATGACGGAGGGTGATAGGAAGAATGAGCTGGAAGTGAGAACTCGTCCGACCACGCCCTTTCTTCGCGTTATGCGCATACAAGTGCAGTTCAGTATTTATGACATGTGGGGCGAGTTTTGTGCTTTTCTTTTCTTCAGTTCTGTGTTATTTACCATCTTGTCATTACTATTTAAGCCGCGCAAAGCACCATTTTGAACGCTGTACGTGCCATTAAACCTGAAACACTCTCCTAATTGTGTTTAGATGGTACACGAAAGATATTGTGTAGCCACATTAATAAGAAGTAGAGAGCTACCACGCACCCAATAATCGAGTGAAATAATTTGAAAAACTATTTGGATTATTTGAATCCTTTTAGGTTTTTGAAATGAGACTTTTTGAGGCTCCAGCTTGTTGCTTCACTTTTAATGTTCAGTGGATAGCCTTTCAATATGAAACAGATTTGTCCATTCATGCAGCGAAATGTGTTAATTCAAGGCCTTGCGATGGTCCCAGCTACACGGTGCATTGGCGCAGTAGCTTCCCATGATTTTTATTTTCTTTTACACATTGTCACCGCTTCTCTCTCCCTGTCGCTCATCTCCGATGAATGGGTTTCGTCAGCGAAGTTTTATATTTTCCATGATTCATGAAATGGTTCCCTCAAATGTCATAAAGCTTCATAGTCCTACAACCAAAATATAGGGTATCGATCAGGAAATAGGTTCAGTTGTTTTTCAATTTCACTGTTACAGTTATAGGATTTTTCAACGGTTGTGGGACGGCAAAAAATATGCTAATAATAATCTGTCTTGTCACCATCTTTTCGGTTTCTTGAGACTCCTTTGTTATCCACTGTGGCGAACCAGCGCGTGGTTTTATTGGGTTGGTGGGAAAGTTCTGTCTTTTTTTAAGTAAACTTTCTTTCTGTAGAAATACATAAATTAGAAAGATGGAACATTTTTATTGCCGGGCTTTTGCCAGTTTTTCAGCACCTTTTGGATGTCATCGCTTCACAATGCAGGCCGGCACGACGCAAAGTTGGACAACATCTCGATTTTGACTTGGGCTCGGGCCGTGGAGCGTTTCTCGTCCGTTTAGCGGGTAAGTACGGAATGTAACTAGCAGATGGAAGGAAAAGTGTCTGCACCTCATCTCTGCAAGGGAGAACCATCCAGCTCTACTGCATGAGGTCCTGCTCGACATTTTTGGAGGGTGTGGGGTGCATGTTATGTTGAAGGCAGAGTAAGCCGACGAATTTTTTCGACTGATCGACCATTCGCTTCGGATCTCCCAACTGCTTTCATGAGGATTGACCGAGGACGCAGTTTTTTATCCTATAATTTTACGAGCCACAGCTCCCTCAAGCTGAGTTCATATGGACATCGAGATCTCACTTCTTCTTTATAGCTGTAGGTTCCCACATTGGGGCGTTGACATCGTGAAAAAACTATTCGATACTGGGCATCGCCCCTATACAGCTCCTTCATTATGAGTCCGGCAGCTCTCATACTCGAGGCAGGGTGATAGAACAAATAGTTCGAGGGAGCGCTCTGAGGGTCAGTGCCAATAGTGCTGGATCCCATTCTTGTCCATATTACAAAAGAAGTCGGTTGCAAGTCAGTGATATTAAAAGAAAGAGTATCTCCTTGGGTCATCACTCTCATTGTCGATCACACCTCCTCAGAATATGGGCAAGTATTTTGAGTTTAAAAACTATGATAGATTTCTCTCGCCAATCTAATGAAAACAGTTAGTGGTATTGCGTTCATACTTCGCGATTCGATTGCTCTAATCGGGCGTGCGATTTGACCAAATGGCGAAGTATGATCACACTATGACCATCTCTCAACTCCGATGCACCTCACGTTCCACCCAACAATTCACCTTTGTGTTCTTCTGCCGTCGAATTCAGAAAAGGTTTATTCCCACACGCCTTCGTCTCTATTTTCCGACGGTGGATCAATTTAAGAGCGAATGATTCCAAGAAATTGAGAATCGCGGCGGCAGTGGCTTCTCACATAGCTCGCTGGCCAGGCTGTGGGCCAATTTAGTGCGTTCCTGTTAGGATTCCTCAGATGAGATATGAAATAAATTTTCCTCCTAAGAAAGCCTTGTTCTTATGTGAACTTCTTATAACAAAGGCTATCATACTTGAACTACTTGGTTCTTAGAGAAAAGGTATAATTTGCAATATTGATCGCATGAATTGAAAGACTTCCTGCGATGTTAAAAAGATTAATCCGGAAATCCTCATAATATGCTTACTATCGATCGTGAAACACGGGTTTAACGTTTCAAAAAGTGCACCATGATGAGAGTATTGATTGAAATTTAGAACTTTGTTGCATAGCGTGTTTTATCCTCTCGTCATCGCACACAGCACGGGTACATGATGCGGTGTTTAGCGGTTTCTGTCTCGTCATCGCCGTCCATAATCGCATCAGTCATCTGCGACGTTTTCCGCAATGCGGAGGAATACACATACTGAGCCCATATAATATCACCAAGTGATAACGTAAGGTTTCTCAGCGATAACACGGCGCTAGGCGTTCTTCTCGCTTTGATCCATGAATTCTGTCTTCATTTCGATGAGAAGACCGAATTTTTTTTTCTTGTCAAATTCCGGCCCATTTCCGGCTTTGCCAAAGCTATGAACGTTCAGTGAGGGCATGATAGCTCAACGCAAACACTCAAGAACTTCAAATTTCACTTAGTTTTCTTTTCATAATATTTTGAATGTGCATGTAAGATGTTGCCTGTGTCTGTATTTGTTTCCGTCGCTCTTCTGCTTTGACCGTTGTGTTGATTTTGGTATTGTTTGTAGAGCCGTCTGAACTTTGGGGTTGATTTTGATGAACGAGTTGATCAAAGCATGACATATTTGCTACGATATATCTAAACAAGCGTGCCCAACTTTCGCGAGTAATTCTCTTCCCCATCGACTTCTTTCATTTCCTAAACGATCTCGAGAGCCGACTTATTCAATTTTGTGGGGAGCACCGCCCATCTCAAATGCTCAAATTCCGGGTGTGTCTCCCCAATTAATCTACCGACCTCTTGCCAAGCATATTACACTTTTTTCTCATCTCTGAGCTGCTCTGTAAGCGAGTTGTATTTTTTATCCGCGAAACCGACAATTTCGTCCATGCCCTCCCACTGTAGGCGGAGCTTAGCACAGGTCGTGTGAGCTCTTCACATCTTGTCCCATACCATACCCATTTCGATCTTGACCTGACCTATCCAAGTTGTTCCTCAAGTCGAACCGAATTCCCGGACAGATGAAACATTCAGGTAGATGTAACAAATTATATGTAGTGGGTAATCATGTATGGATTGGATCGTTTAGACCGATGTGAGGCATCCAGATAGTGCAACAATTTGCCAGCACTCTAGTTGAAAAAGTTTGTAGAAGTGGTGTTTTCCTGCAAAGTTCGCAGAATAGTGTAATTCAGAGAAATCGTGACAGATCGGGTGGAGCGATGGGAATCGATCGGAATTTCGCAGCGAAAATGCTCAATATATACTATCACAACGCACTTGTGTAAATATACCAGGAATAAGTTGTCACGGGAACCGGAGATGCAGTGTTTTCGGACGGCAGTTCTCCTCAAATAGGCTTTCCTTCAAAAATTGTCGGGCTAAAAAAATTGCTATGTACCTATTCGAATGGTTCCCGGTTTTCTTGCTTTGATTTCAAGGGATATTTTTCGACAGACGTCGATTTTCTCACGGAGATATGGAATAGCTATGATCCTGGCTGAACTCCTGGTACGAGGAAATAAAAGTTTTTTTGCTCGCAGTATGAACTTTTTGAATGGTTCAGCTCTGGGATAATTTTGGAAATGTGAAATTGAATCGGTGGCTGGCTAGCTGGTGGAGACCCTTAGACCTTACAACCTTGGAAAAGTGTACTGCTTTGATCAACGTTAGTGTTACAAAATCACACGCAGCTCGTTTGTATCGTTTCTACCGTGAATTATGTGAGAGAATTTTTTGACTTCAGACGAGCGACAAGCAGTGGAGTTAGGCCACGCCAGGCACTGCTTTCTGGCCTCTCACACTGGGCTCCCGCCGCGATGACAAATCGGGCTCCTGGATCGGCCTCCGCTTCGGCGAGTACGACCAACTCGCAAGGTGTTCTCATGGTTGGACCCAATTTCAAGGTTGGCCGTGTATTCAGTTTCTTGGAATACTCCATGTTTGTTGTGTTTTTCGTTTGTTCTTCTCTCAGGGAATGACGAACGTTAGAGACCCTCAGCGAATAGGTTGTATTTGGTCGTGGAGGAATGGGGAAGTCTTAATTGCCTGTAAAGAAAATATTTTCGGCTCTTGGCCACTCTCCGTTTCCCCGTCTCGAGTGCGCTATGTACCCCCGCCTCCGACCCCATACCACTTGATGTCTGCTTTCTGGGGGAACCAATAAAGGAAAGAGGAACTTCTGGAAAAGTGGTAGGAGTTCGGAAAGTTCAGGGACGTGCTAGGTAGATGGAGAACAGGGGAGGGGTCGTATCAGAGAGGGAAATTTAAGAGGAATGAATTTCCCAAAACTTCACCCCAACGCCAACAGACGTGCTCTATCTGACTTTTCCATTATAATAATAGATTCAAGTAAGAGTTTGATTTGTCTCTTAAGGTCGGCAAGAAGATAGGATGCGGTAATTTCGGGGAGCTGCGTCTTGGAAAGAATTTGTATAATAATGAACATGTAGCAATCAAATTGGAACCTATGAAGAGTAAAGCTCCTCAACTCCATTTGGAGTACAGATTCTATAAGCTTCTGGGGCAGTCCGGTAAGTGCATTCTTGTGTAATTTCGTTTCGCATATACACTTTTTTTCAAACTTTGCTTTTCAACAGTTCTGATTTTGTGTGTTTCAAGAAGGCTTGCCACAAGTGCATTACTTTGGACCTTGTGGCAAATACAACGCTTTGGTCATGGAGTTACTTGGACATTCGCTGGAAGATTTGTTTGATTGAATGATCGACATTTCTCGTTAAAAACAGTCGCCATGGTCGCCATGCAACTGGTAAGCATTAAGCATTATTCGATCATTCAAAACATTTTATGATGCTCTGAGAGAACTTTCATTTGCGTCTCCCACTCATTGGTGTAGTTATTGAGAATCACAGCGCTTTTCTTGGCAACTAACCGTTTTCTGGGGACTAACACCCAGTTAATTGCATGGGTTTCTCAGTAAGTGCCCCTAGAATGGCCAAGTAAGTACTTTGCTAGACTGGCCAGCCAAACTGTTCAAGGTTTACAAGCACTATTGGCGCAGTTCGGCGACGGAGGAGGGGGCCATTGTGCACGTTCGCTTTTCTTCTCGACGTGTTGAGTCATCTAGAAAGCTATTTATGAGCTTACAGGAGGGTCTTAACTTGCTGGGTCGGAACCAGTGAAGCAGCGAAAGTGCAAAATGTCCCTCCTACGTCGCTGAACTGCGCCGTTCTTTTTCCTTTTTCTATTTTCGTTTTAGCTTAAATGGTTATCTTCATATGTTTCTGGGGTTACCGTTACGTTGATGCTTTATTCTATTTAGTGTTGTAAGGTGATCACAGTACGCCGCTCAGAAGATTTTGAGATTTGGGAGTCGGTGGAAAGTGTTACATACGTCTTGCTGGGAAGAATGGGTCTTCTGCTATTTTTTGGCTCAATTTTTTCGTCGGTTCTCTGGCTCGGTTGCTTTCAGACTTTCGTTGCGGCTCTGAGCGTTTCGACCATTTTGAGCGATAAAGAAAGTATAGACACCGACCTAGCGTGTTAACGTTTCGGGAGAAACATCAGCTTTTTGAGAAGGAATTTGTAGGCGGTTCAGGCGAAACGCTAAAAACGCTAGATCAATGCCTATACTTTCTTCTTCGTTGAAAACGACGAAAACTATGAGCGCAGTTTCGAGCAGAATTGATTGAAGGGATACCGTCGATAACCGTATCTAGCGCTTTTCGCCGTTTTTCATGTTCGCAGATCATGAAGATGCCTAACTAGTACAGGAAAGGAAAACTGATTCATTTTCATTTTTCTTGTGAACCGTCTTCGAAGATAACTTATCAACACTTGAGGAGCTGACTTCTGGCGATGTTCATTGCGCTACCGCTTCTTTCATGATATCATTCCTTCAGAAAAATAGTTTCGAACTAAAATTCGTTCTCCGGGTTCATTCTTTGGTCGGAAAACTGAATAATTGTATTTTGTATACCGTGATCGCGTTTTTGAAAAAGGAAATATTGACTCTCAGCCGAGTCTCAGTTTTTTTTTTGTACAAGCATTTGTATATGTTTGTTCCTGTAATATTTACTATTTGAATGTGCGTGTAAGCTTAATATTAAAAAGAGACAAGGCATTCCGCATTGATCAATTTCTTTTTGTGATGCCGCTCGCGATCTATTTATATTCAATCGTAGCGCATTTAAATGTGATTTGGCCTGCAATGGCTAGTGGGGTCAGTCCATGCACATGTTTTTCCATAATCCCACCGAGTTTGGTACCTGTCGTAGGAATGAGACCCCTTGCTTGCGCGGGACGGAATTGGAGCCGCTCTTGACCCTTGTAAGTCGCGTCGGCTAGCTCAAGCTGCCTTCACCTTGAGAAATAGAAACTGTTCATTTTCCCTGATGAGGTGATGAAGGAGGCTACCTGAGAGTAGGCAACATTAGTTCATTGAATCGATCATAGTTGGTGTTTTTGTTGTTTTTTTCATTGATTTTTGCCAGCAAAGGCAAGCATGCTGCAACAGTATCGATTTTTGTCTTTGGGTTGTGAGAGGATGTGGGTGGAGCTCCACAGAAAAGCTCTTTCGTGCGAATTCAGAGATGTCTTTGAAATAGTTCTTGGTATCTGGAGGCACTAGAAAAAACAAGTGAGTCACCGATCCAGGGAAACAATATCGAATAAAGTAGAGGTTATGGTGTAAGGTGTAGGTCATTGCCGCAAATTACAACAAAACGTCGTCCCTGTACTCCTCTTTTGTTCAGTGTTACCCACTAACAACCTACTAAGTTCCCCACCCAAACCTAGCTTGTTTTTGTTAAAGGTATTTTCAAATGTTTTAAAACCATATTTTACGCTGCTTTATGCTAAAATTGTTTTTCATGCTGCTCAATACATTCCCCTATATTCCTTTTGAACGGTCACATTCCGTTCTATTTATGTTCGGGTAAACAATAAATAGAGAAGTGAGGCCCTGGGATGGTTTGTATGAGGATAAGGGAGGAAACAAACCGATGCTGTTTTGTAGTAGTTTTTCTACTAATGCCTATTTCTTCTTCTAATTAGCGAAACCAAGAGCCTTACGCGCTTTCTTCATTCAAGTTCTGCATCACTGATTCCTGCAAGAGTTCGTTTTGCAACTTGGTAAAAGATGATTATTTCTACTAATGGATATTTAAGAAATGAGTAAACAGGTGGAACTATTCGGTGAAAGTGTGACTAATCATTTTTGTTTTATTTTTTTTATGAGAGAATGGTCTCATTACAGATCCGGCGGATAGAGTACGTGCACGCGAAGCATTTGATCTATAGGGATGTGAAACCGGAAAATTTTCTCATAGGACGATATTCAACCAGAAAACAACATGTGCTTCATATAATCGATTTCGGGCTCGCCAAGGAGTATATTGATTGTGATACTGGTGCGCTTTTTTTACTTTGTGCTTTTATTTCTGAAAGTATCTCATCCACAAGGGATCAGACTTGTTCCCACTTACAGAAAAAAAAAACAAGCACAGTGATTTTTTTTAATATTGTCAGTTACAACGAAAGTGTCCGAAGTATCCTAGTATGAACGCTTTCTGAAGCTTATGCTGTAGAACTTCGGGATCTAGGATTTCCTATCTATCTGTGTGAATCACAGAAATCTTCTGAAAGAGAACAGGGGAAACTTGGGTGAATAGGTGGATGGGGGGGGGGTACTTGTTCACAGTGTAGTGTCTGTCTGGATTATGAGGGGGGGGGGGTACATGGATTGGAGTGATCGTATTGTTGCTTATACGACTGCAGCATCGTTTCAGCATTATGCAAGTGTTGTTATGAGAGAATGGTCTCATTACAGATCCGGCGGATAGAGTACGTGCACGCGAAGCATTTGATCTATAGGGATGTGAAACCGGAAAATTTTCTCATAGGACGATATTCAACCAGAAAACAACATGTGCTTCATATAATCGATTTCGGGCTCGCCAAGGAGTATATTGATTGTGATACTGGTGCGCTTTTTTTTACTTTGTGCTTTTATTTCTGAAAGTATCTCATCCACAAGGGATCAGACTTGTTCCCACTTACAGAAAAAAAACAAGCACAGTGATTTTTTTAATATTGTCAGTTACAACGAAAGTGTCCGAAGTATCCTAGTATGAACGCTTTCTGAAGCTTATGCTGTAGAACTTCGGGATCTAGGATTTCCTATCTATCTGTGTGAATCACAGAAATCTTCTGAAAGAGAACAGGGGAAATTTGGGTGAATAGGTGGATGGGGGGGGGGTACTTGTTCACAGTGTAGTGTCTGTCTGGATTATGAGGGGGGGGGGGTACATGGATTGGAGTGATCGTATTGTTGCTTATACGACTGCAGCATCGTTCAGCAATTTCGGGCTCGCTAAGGAGTATATTGATTGTGATACTGGTGCGCTTTTTTTACTTTGTGCTTTTATTTCTGAAAGTATCTCATCCACAAGGGATCAGACTTGTTCCCACTTACAGAAAAAAAAACAAGCACAGTGATTTTTTTAATATTGTCAGTTACAACGAAAGTGTCCGAAGTATCCTAGTATGAACGCTTTCTGAAGCTTATGCTGTAGAACTTCGGGATCTAGGATTTCCTATCTATCTGTGTGAATCACAGAAATCTTCTGAAAGAGAACAGGGGAAACTTGGGTGAATAGGTGGATGGGGGGGGGGGGTACTTGTTCACAGTGTAGTGTCTGTCTGGATTATGAGGGGGGGGGGTACATGGATTGGAGTGATCGTATTGTTGCTTATACGACTGCAGCATCGTTCAGCATATGCAAGTGTTGGGTGGTGAGGCTGCTGTTTCCTTTATGCTGTGTCTCGCCTCATGAGACCTTCCTTATTGGTGCACCGCAGTTGCTAGCCGTTTATTCAAGCTTTCTTTTGTATTGGGTCAACTTATTCAGGCACCAGGAGACATATAGACGAATGGTAGGGAAACAGGAACTAGGTGCATAGGATTGCACATCATCTGAAAGCTGGTGCAGTTACCTACGTGTTCGTGAAATTTGGCCAACATAGCCGCAGAAGAAAAACTCGAGAAAATGAAAAGCAACCTCAGTGCTGACCGTTGTCGAGCATCCTAGCGAGAACGCTGCAAACGCTCCCCAGGTTATGTCCGAAAAGCTGAATATGCTCAAGAAGGCGTGTGTCTGTGTGCCTCCATTTCTTTCGAAAGTACGAACGCAGAACTGTTTCAATGCCTGTAACAGGGATGTTCATCGCATAAGACGTACACTGTGAAAACGCGCTCTGGCGCAAGGCTGTATGTGGGTGGTCTTATACTCCGAGCTGAAACAAAGGTAAATCTTGAATAAAAGCAGTTGGATTTTAGTATTCTGCTATGAGGAGTTAGGCGGGCCGAAGTGGATAATCATTATGGCAATAGACTCCTGCACTTCCAAGCGGCTCTGTATAAAATCGAAGGTGCTAGGTGTTCATGCTCTCCCTGGACACGGGATCATGTCATTAATGAAAGCAGAGTCTTCTTAACTTGAAGCCAAAATATGACTTTAATTTGCTTCCTTCCTCGTTTCACTGGAATAAATCTTCCAGTTTTTTTTTTGAATGAGATGACCTAACAGTTCATTATATTTCAATCAATAGGAGAAACCTGATTTCATGTACGACATCCGTAACTAGGTTACTTGATGTTTCGTAATTTTGCCGTAAACAGATCAATCTTAGGTTCTCTTACAGAACAGATCGATTTTGTGAGCAATGCGCGGCCATTATTCATAGAAGCTATATTTGGGGACTTTCATTAATCTTAGATGGTCTTTTGATTGAATGGGTCTGAAAAATCGAAATTTGTGAGTAAAATGTAATCTTGAGTGGATTTCTCACGTTCCATTTCATGTTCTTTCCAAGACTCGGGCAAACTAATAACAGAAGATACTTGGTTGAATTGTGGTTTTATGCAGCTTTGCTGATTTTGTTCCCACCAAATACGCTTATTTTTTGTTTCTAGTTTTGACTGATTTTATTCTATACGTGGGCTTTCAGGAAAACACATCCCATACCGAGAACATAAGTCCTTAACTGGAACAGCACGGTACATGTCCATCAATACCCATCTCGGCAAAGAGCAATCACGGCGAGATGACTTAGAAGCCCTTGGACATATGTTCATGTACTTTCTCAGGGGTAGTTTGCCATGGCAAGGGTTGAAGGTATGCATGAGTAATCAGTGTTAACCATTCACCTTTACTGTTTCAAATTCGGAGAAGATTTGATTGCAATTTTTCTTCGAAGGTAGATTCGGCCGGACTTTGTTACGGTGGTGGTCTGACCCCTACATTTTAAAATCCTTACCGCTTCAAGCGAGAACGTCTGTTACGAGGGCCTTTTTTGACTTAGGCTCCTGTAATGCTCGCAAAAGGCAGTTGAAATTATCACTTTCGCCTAGTTATTAGTTAGGCGAAAGTGATAATTTTGTTCAAGGGTCAAACTACCCCCGGAACAAATATCTAGCCGAATGTCCTCCGGACGAAAATATCAATCAAAATTTAGAGTTTCGAAGAGTGCGGCTATAAAGGGTATGGCTTTTCATCGTTTTCTCAATGTCGATGTTTCTCACATTCAGGCAGACACGTTGAAAGAGAGGTATCAAAAGATTGGAGATACGAAACGGCAAACAGCCGTTGAGGTTTTATGTGAGGGATTCCCAGGTATGCGATTGCTTGGTCTATTTTTGCGATGATCTGAATTATGCGCCCTTTTTTCAGAAGAATTTGCTCAGTATCTCCGTTACTCGCGACGACTTGATTTTTTCGAAACACCAGATTACGATTACTGTTATAATTTATTTAAAGCTGTTCTTGATCGATTAGGAGCTAGTTATGATTATGAGTTTGATTGGACGCCCAAGCTGAACAACGTGGTATGATTATCCTTGTTTTGTTTTATTGAATCTTTAAGTTCGGTTATTAAAGCCAGGGAACGTCCTGTCGCTGGGGAATACTTTGTAAAGTACGCCCTCCCCCCTTTCAAAATTTCCCTCTTTGGTATGACCCCTACCTGCCATCTTACTGACTATACTCAAATTCTTATTGTCTAGTTGGCTGAGGGCGAAATGGCTTGTCAAGCGAGATGAGTTTGGCGCGGTGCCGAACCCGTTCTCCACGAGTTTTTGAAGCGAGCAGTTGGCATGACTGTATTATATCGTTCGTACCGTTTGTTTCCTACCAATTGCTGTCTCAAAAGAGGGGCCGGAGAACGGATTTGGCGCCGTGGCGACTCACACTGCTTGACACGCCCCTTCATCCGCTGCGAACTAAAGTATACCACTTTCGTGGAGTTTTTAAGTACTCCAGTTACCTTCCGAAAAATCCCCTCAAGCAGAAAGTGGGGAGAAGGGGTTGTGGGTATTACGCTTTTAAAACAGGAAAAATGTAGAAAACTGAGAATTCACCGCATTTTTCCCCAGAAGATGCTACCCCCTTCCATCCTCCTCGCTGAGGATTCGCGGCGTACGACGTACCGTGACTCTAGCTGATCGAGTTAGAATAACAGAAATGTTCTATTCGTGAAAGGTAGTAACACTCAATTTGAACGTTTCAGTCAACTCCTTCCGGTTCACTACATACTGCTGAAACCAAAGAGAGCAAAAGAGGTGGGCTTAGTTGTCATTGACTGTTGGAAGTTCACATGAATGTTATTTTTCTCTTTTCGGGTTGTCTTTTCTGTTTTTGACGGCTCATATTTTTCAACTTCAATACTCATCTACCGATCGCTTACTCCCACCACCTCTTTCGTTGTACCTGTTGGTCTGAAGTTTGATGAAGGTTGCTTGATATTGAACACCGATATTTTCGGATTCTCGCAAGTGTCCACGCGCCTTTTCTGGAATTGCATCTGAAATATGCACCTTTTTAAGCTCGAATCTCACCATTCTTATCATAGTATCCCGTGAACTGGGTACCTCACAGTTGAGCGCGAAAATACTCAAGTCAGCACAATCTCATGGAGACCCTTATTTCTGTGACTACTTGTTAGTAATACATTACAACTTCCCACAATGACTATCCTGTCCTCCTTTATTGTTAATCCCTTCTTCCTCAAAAAGCTTGCCAAGAGTTCGTCGCATCTTTGCGATTCCCTGACAGTCGTCCCCCTCTATTTACCCGACGCTCTGCGACAAGGCAGTTAGCTGGGTAAGCCTTGGCAATAGTCACAGACTGAAATGAGATTCCGCGTTGTTACTACAGCAGAAAGTAAGCGAGACCCTTCTGAACATTTTCTCTCAAGGCCAACACTCTCCTGATTTTATGCGGTCCTGTCCACCTTTGTAACTAGCGCGTTTGAAGCTCAAGAATTCACTTGAATATAATTCACTTTCATTGCCCTTCTCCAGCTAGTGTACATTAATTTTTAGAGCGGGCAGATGCTCTCAAGCCCAATCATGCATCTACTCATCCGTTCGGATCAACACAGGTAATTTGCAACATTGAAGTGTTTTATGTATGGGAATACTATTTTGGAGCATTCTTCTAAATCCAGACGTTCGTTAAGCTTTTTTAGCACCATCAAAAAATCACATCCGCGGAAGTACAAGTTTGCAAATCATAAATTAGAGCAGCATATGAGACTCGTAGGTGCTGTAACATAATAATTGTGTGCGACATGTTGTTGAGCTATCTTTAGTTGGTTCTATGGGTCCCTCCTCTGTCTAATAAAATTGGCTCTTACGGGGTGGCGCATTCAAAAGTTACAGATACGTGGTCATCGTGAAACGGGATCTGCCTTTTTAAGTTCCGTGACCAGTCAATTACTTTTTCATTGCATTGATTTGTTCTTTTTATGTTATTCTGAGTTCATCCGCGACTTCTGAAGGTTTGGTCCAAGTATATTCCGAATAAGTTGGCGGAATATTTGATTTCTTCTGATAATACCTAAATCAGAGTGCCTTCATGCTTTGTGTCACGGTTTTAAACGTTCTGGGCGAGTGGAAAGCATTAGCATTTTGAGCATTCACAAGTATGTTGAGTGTACGCCAGCGTTTCAAGCGATTATCAGTACCCATATTTTCCTGGCCGCTCAAATCGCTAGCGGACACTTGAAGCTTTGGAGGACATTCAAAACGCTTAGAACGCTGACAGACACTCAAAGTGCTGCCGCAAACTATAAACACACTCTAAGTATTTGGGAGCCGCATTCTATTAAGTGCCTCTGCTGTACGTGTGATACTAGGAGTAAGCATTGTTCAATGCTGGGAATTGAAAACATAAGGATTTCATATTTTTTTTACCCATTGGCTTGAATATTTAATATACCACAACCCTTAATTTGACTGGAAACAGATACGGTAGAAATGGTATGACTAATGGAAAGCGAGCTTGGCAAATTTTGGTTGCATCCATTCCACAAAGACGAGTTAGGGGGGTGCCAAACATTAATTTGAAACAGTTTCCCACAAACGGAGCAGTCTTCCATGTTTCCCCAAAGGAGGACTAGGTCCAAGAGTAGGGATTGTGCTAAGTTCGCGAGCTATACAAATGTGCTAGAAAACTGGTTGGTGTATGCATTACTATTGCTGTCTTGCTAGTCTTTGGGCTCTCTCTCGTACTTTCATCGTCTTGTTCTAAGTACGAGCTCTTAATGTGCCTTCTCCTTGTGCTCATGTAATGCTCAAACTCGGCTGAAGAAGGGTTTCTCATTGAAGTTCTTCGCCTTTTTGCGTGCGGGTCAGTCAGCGCCTAGATCTCTCTGCGAGTTCTTGTCCACGTTTTGCTATCGTAAAATGTGCCTTTAACATTAGAACCGGATGGAGTGAACGGCAGGAGGGAGCGAACGAGGGAACAGGTGTGATATCAAATTCCGTGGTATGACCTCTTTAGTACTTGTCAGCCTTGTTCCTGTCATAATATATTTCATTTTACCGTCTGCTACTGCATGCGTCGAGTAAGCGTGTTAAATTTGAGCGAATCTTCCCACGCAGTTTGCCGGAACCAATTTCCTCGCTGTGACACTCATACCTTATTAATGGCCCGCTGGAACAATCGTTTGCCTGCAGCATCACCCATTGCTGTGACATTTTGCGAGCTGTGATGAAAATCCGTTTTCTAATAGGGTGGAGAGTCAGTGGAAGCAGTTCTACTTTCTAAAGAAACACTGCGATTGTATATTGTGGAGGGTGGAATATAGTTACGACCTATATTCGCTTCTAGGGGAGGAAAAAGCAAAAAATAATGCATGGTGAAACATCCTGTGTAAGGGCTTCTAGCAGCCTCTCTGGACGAGTTTTCCGAACATGCTCGTTCTATCTTGCCACCTCTGGCTAACTACTCGTTGCTTGGCGTCATGCGATGCTAATACTAGCTAAAATTAATCGAAAAGTACGGTGTAAAAAGTGAACTCATGGCAGAAAGTAGCCGTTGAGTTTTGGTGGGCGGGACAACTATGTAGAGTGGCGTTAAAACTGCCACTTATGTGAGTCACAGCGCCCATATTAATTACTGTGAAGCTGCGAAAGTGGGAAAATCTTAGAGACTGAGGGCCAGATAAGTTGAACCAGAACACTTAGGAATTGCCTGAGCGCGGGGTTTTTGCTTTGATGAATCTTTTTCTTTACGCCTTGCTTTCGAAGCGAACAAGTAAATGAGTAACTTTTAATGCACCACCCTGATTGTGTGAGAATGAGAGCTTGACTGAAGAGATGTTGTCATTACAGGTGATAAACTCGAATACTGGTGAAGTTGGCGACGATGTGGCAGCGGGACGAGGCGGAGACATGCATCGACAAGACGAACAGTCTGGAGAAGTGAAATGCTGTTGTTTCCGTCGACGCAGAAGAAAGCAACCGACGTCAGGACAATTAGCACAAAAGTAGCATCGCCGTCTATGTACTACGGTAGGAGCATGGAGACATCGTTGTTTCGTGCGTTGCGTTGCGCCACGATGATCTCTTGGGTCTTCTTCTGCTTTCCCTCCCTCTATATTATATTATGTTGGTATTTCTATTCTTTTCTGTGACTATTGTCCATACAAGCTCACTTCGAACCTCGTCGTCGTCGCGGTTCCACACCCCAACACACTTTCTTCCTCTCATGTTTATGTGACTTGATGTTTTCAATTTATTATTATTATTATTATTTTTCATTGTTGCTCCGTGCGTGTCAGACCACCTGTTGTACATACGGAGACGTGCGTGTATTTGTGATTGCTCCTTTTAATATATTCTATCCCTAAATTGTCTAATTTAGGTTGTCAGTACTTAAATAACTCTCTCTCTGTCTCGACTCTCTCGCTCGACCGTAATTTTAGCAAGTTTATCGTTTGACTTTTTAATACTATTTTGCTATAATATTATCCACGTTGCCTGAGATATTCGACGTTCTTTACTACACATTTTGACAATTTGGGTTACGAAAGATCGCGCTCTATACGAGTGTTTCTTCTGTACCTTACACATACGTGCATATAGTCCATGTCTTCCTGTGGTCCCTGTTCGTCCTAGAGTTCTCCTCAAGACATTAGAAGACACAGGTACGATCGCGACGTCGCCATGTGCGTCGTATTTTGGCTACCATGAGTACAGTCTCTATGGGAGATATGGACTGTACATATATGTTCATGCACAGACTTGATTTTTAACATTTATTACCATAGGTTGTGTTTTTATTCCAAAATCTGTACCCCATTATTACGTGCGTGTTCCTTCTTTCGCCTTATTCTGTCTCTAGCTTGGAGTTGAGATGATTTCTTCTTTTGCGGAACTTTTCTCTCTCTCTATTTCTTTCTCTCTATCTGTCGCTGTCTTGCTTGACTTCTTCATTGTTCCCTAGGCCTACACACCGATTCAGATGTGCAAGCGCGTTCTTACTGTCCAGCAGCGGCGGTTAGCGCACCGACCGTTTTAACCACGAAGCTATCACGAACCGCACCCCCATACGTTTCTTTCTTGTTTCTCGTATCCCGATTTTCGCGATCTAGCTTCGGTTATAACATACATGCTAAGAATATCTACCCTTGCTCCTTTGAGCGCAAATGTGATTTCTGTTTTTCCCTTATTTAAGTGGAATAATGCGTTTGTATATTGAGATTAGTTCATCGCATTTTTTGTTTTCTTTTTTTTTCTACAGAGATGGGCAATAAAGTATTGAATGAATCTATATGTTCTCAAGGAATGGCAGGGTTACATGTTCAACAAAGTACATTTTAATAAGCAATGGACAGCCTGAATTTTCTAGAGAGAAAGTGCTTTAGATGTCGTTTCACACGCCGGTGAAGGCGTTAAACCCGGTGGACACGAAGCTACCCGATCATGTTGTCAAGGTATGTTTCCTAGAGCTTCTAGCGTTTTAGGTCTTCTCTGATATCACACAATTTTTCGGGATATAATGCGCATTTCGCAGAGTCCCACGCGAAAATGAGCACGAAATCTTGGTAGACAGTTTCCCTTTCTTGTCTGTATAGTTTGATATCTGGTGCTCAAACATCCATTGAATATAGATCATGAACTAGGATAAAAAAATACAAAAATTAGAATAAGGACAAACTAAAAACGCTAAAGTAAAGTGAGAAACGACCATACGCGGCCTTCGAAGGTGTGTTTGCACATGGGTGCGCCTCATACCCGAGAAAATAGTGTGATTGCTTTACTGTTAAATGGGTCGTGGCTGGTGAACACTGACTCTAGAAACCTCTGAAGGGAATTACCGAACTCACCCCCAGGATGGAGGCCAGTTCTTTGAAACATAGTTCTCAGTATCCTCTAAGGCCACTTCTCGGAATATGTATCCAGGACTCACTTGTATTTTCTTCACTGGGGTGGGCAGACTTCTCTTTGTATGTTGTCATAACGTCGTACACGGTCGATCTTATATGACGCCTGACTGTACGCCATAAGCTTCGCTGAACCGATGGGCTCCGCATAGAGCTTCGATTGTGTAGTACCCACTGCATTATTCTAGCTCGCAACAGTAGCTCGCACTCGCGTTCTCGACTGCAGATGTTGCTGGTCAAAGAACTCGGCAATCTGCGGGACGTTTATTATGTAATAAACTGCACTTGCCTTTAATTTCTGCGGTACAAGATGCCTTTATTCGCGATTTCGAGGGGTGCCACAGTGCGCGCGAAAATTTTGACCCATTAGCGCCTCTTTGGTCTTTTTCGTATTCTATCCTACACTCCCTATGCAACCATCCCTATGCTGTAGATATCACTCTGATAGATAAGAACAAACAATAAATGCGCAGAACGGAAACAAGAAGAAGTATTCGTTTCGAGGCGAAGGTACGCCGTATACTTCAGGGAAGAGGGTAAAATTGCATTGATCGAATATCTCTTCGCGTGACTCAAACAATCTGCAAGAAACAGTGCTTATTCCTGAAACTCCATGATATCGCAAATTTCGCTGAAGTAGATAATACGTTGCTCCTAGCAGTCCTCCGGTACCTTTTCTAGGAACTGAAATATACTGTATTTGAGGGCGCTGTGATTGTGGATGAAAAGATCCACAAGTGGAATCCAAGTGTCGTACTTGAAGCTAATGGACCTATGTCAGCCTTCATAGTAATAGACAAGAAGGTAGGTAACGAATTACTGATAGTTTTCTATAAACTATAAAAATGTGCACTTACCTCTGTGGACCGTCCTTGCCAAATGCGAGGTTCATGGGTCCCAGGCCGTAGTAAGCCTTTTTCTTCGCTCAAAAGGGTACAGGAATGGGGCTGGAGGGAAGTGCTATTCGTGTGGCGTTTGCCTATTCCTTTTGCGCTATCCTCGAGGTGCAGCATTTCATCGATACCAAACTCCCGCAGCAAGTGTAGTCAGGGGAAAAGTACAACCAGAAGTTAGAGAACGCAGAAAGTTTTTTCCTTCGAGCGTTTGCCTGAAGTTAAGCTTGGGGCTGGTCGTGCGGCAGAGCGGACGGGAATCGAACGGCACTTGGTATCACTACTCACCATCCCCGGTCCCCTGCACTTTTATAAGGAGAAAAAAAAGCACGGACTCAATCATCCCATGTATGGCAGGACCACGATCCACATGGGTTAGTTCACAGTAATGCTACGATCTAAATTGTCGCCTCATCTAATTGTTTTATCAACATAACTCTATATTATTGGACGGAGAGCAAAAAATGGTTCAACTGCTATTTCAATTCCAGTCGGGAGATGTCAATGAAGTTATAAAGCGAGTTGTGGTGGACTTGAAGTTACCCTCTAGCGAGGAGTACGGGCTGGTTTTTGAAGAGCCGAAAGCTTTCCTCACGCCTTCCAATCTCTGTCGAGTGAGCCATGGATTTATGCTCACTGTGACTGCCGCTCCGGTGAGTCTGTGCTTTGCTCTGTCTTCATATTGCATGAGTTTTCCGGCGAATCACTACTGTGCAGTGGTCTTCTGACTGCTATTCGCAACTCTTATACTTTGAGAATAAGAACTGATGTGTTATCATAAAATTCCCACCGTCGATCCTTCTATTCTATAAACCACTAACTCTGTGTGTCGGTTTGTCGGTATGTATGTATGTATGTATGTCTGTCCGTCCGCAAAATGCTTCACGGGTTCGAGTTCGCTGGAGGCGAAAACGACCGCTAGGCAAACAGGCAATCGGTGCGGAAGTATCAATCCAATGTTTTGATTGTGATAACAGCCTCCGCTATATAAGACAACCATTCGGTACACTCCGAGCCATTGCACGAGCTGCTGGCGTGGCAGCTGGACGTGTGCTCGTCCGGATCTGAGCATGTGCAAGGGAGGGAAGCAGAGTCCGACTGGAACACTGGGGCGTTTGTTCAAGGTATGATATAGGTTATGGCACAGGAATATGTGGGTGACAAGAACTGCTAGCTGCTGATAAGATTTGATAAGGGAGTTAGAATGGAAAGGACAACATACTCATAACGCGGGACACAGCATCAGTTAGGCGTTGATTTCAGCAAATGATATCAAGAGGGAAAGTGATAACGGCTGATAGGGCCTGATAAAAACGTTGCAGTTGTTGCTCAGTCAAATGCTGGAGCCTCTACACCACGAAATTATGGAGTTTTAGTGATAGCGACATTGATGACGGGTGACAAGCAATTTTATCAATTGATAAGTAAAGATAAGGGGACATTCTCACGACATCTCTGACCACTACACTGCCAAGTAAAAAAGCCTCTCAGTAAGCAAACTTTTCCTCCAGCCATCACTTCTCTGATAGCACTAGAAAATGAACGAAAGTTAATCGCTCATCGTTGGCGTTGTGATGCAGGTAATAAAAACGGAATTTGTTCATCTACTGTGCAACTCATATTGATATTGCACTCACGGTTGACTGTACTTCCTATCTATTTCTGCGATCTACGTATAGAACGGGCGACCAGCACTCCTTCCGCAACTATCAGGGTGGACTAAGGAGTGCAGAATCCGCTAGGTTGCTGTGTCTATTATGATTCACCACCCCTGCGCAATATGAAGCAGTTAACAAATTTCATTCCCGTTATGATGTGCGTGAAGCAGGAGAGCTTGGCGTTAGCCGGGCGCTCCGACTGGTTGAATCATAAGTTAGATACATAATGTGGGGAGCGAAAAGGTTGATGGTTTAACTTTCCCCCTCTCTTTTTCTTTTGTAGGGTTTTTCCTCGGAAGCACGGAAGTGTTTCTAAGCCTGTTTCCTCCGGAATCGTTCTATACAGCTCCTTACTTCTTTTGGTAGAAGTGCTTTTTCGGTACTCAGTAACAGTATACTGCCATAACTCAGTAATGAGACTATAACTCTTTGTTCGCAAAAGAAAAAGTAGTGCTGTACGGTTCCGTTGTCTTGTCTTGTTTGTTGTCATTTTTAATGCAGCTTTGTGAATACTGTACACAAATTCCAGAGTCACTACGTGGGACGAATTCATGCAGCTCTTTTGAATCGCGGCGAGAATTTTGATGACATTGAATGGGCCTTGAATGCCCTGGAGTCATTCTCTTCGGTATGACATGAGTTCTCTATATTTACTGTGCTACTTTGTGCGGCTGTTACCGACTTTTTCGGCTGCCTAGAAGTGTGAGCCATCTAACTGCAAGGCTTCTTTTTTATGCCTGGATTTTACCCTTTTTGTTTTACTTTCATCTTCGTATATGAAATCAATGGGAGTTACCCACAAAAGCAGTGTACAGTT